GTAGCATCGAAAAATGGGTATCAGCAGAAAATCACAAACAAAAATAAACACTTTTTGAGGTTGAAATTTATAAAAATAGCTATCAGTTGTCAAAATTATGAATACAAAATAAGGTAATACTCTAGCACCTACTATAGTCTTCCAATAACTGTTTTTTTCTTGGAAAAATAGTGCTGATGCACTAATAAAATAACGTAGATCCTTAATACTGCGAGGCAGTATTTATTAGTTCCAATAACTCTCTAATATCCACGGTTTATGGCCGTTTCCACCAACTGTTTTAGGGAAGTCCTAACGATAAGTATTCCCTAAAATGACATTTTTACATGGAGAAATGTCAGTTTAGGGAATACTTATCGATGAGGATCCCCTAAAATAGTTGGTGGAAACGGCCATTAATTAACTTTACAAAGCAAAAAACAAAACAGAAACAGAAACATAACCTTAAAGGCTGTCAACTGTCAAAAATTGTATACTTATACGCGTTGTCTGGGGCGAGTTCAGGAATGACACACCCAGTGCGAGTGTGACACCGGTGCGACGCCCTCGCTGTTCAAAAATGCTAGGCGGTGCTTATGGGCCCAATGGCCAATTGTCAATTCAGGCATACCCATAAAATCGCACTCGCACCCTGTGCGTTATTTCTGAACTCGGCCCTGCATATTTTACACGTTGTCTACATAGATTAAATTGTCGACGCGTTGTTTACACCAGAGCCGCTTTCCAGTATGGGAGTGTGATGCCCGGAGCTACTCGGCGCGTTGAGCTCCCGAGCTGTACGTACGCTTCAACCTGTCAGCTGTCACATCCGTGGGTGGCTATTTATTTATTTATTTCTTGTTATATCTCGGGATTGAACATTTTCACGATATAGTTTCGATTCTCTTTCATTTTTGATAAATAAAAAAACAAACTGCAGAAACAAACAGATAATATTTTCAAAATTTGACATATTTGACACTAAGACAGGCGTCTCATGCCATGATACTGGAACGGTACAAATCTAGTGCGTGGCGCCCCCGAGGAGCTCTAGAGCACGCCAGGGCGCGCCAATGTGCATACTGAGCCGCTTTCCAGTATGGGAGTGCCCAGAGCTACTCGGGGCGTTGAGCTCCCGAGCTGTACGTACGCGTCAACCTATCAGCTGTCACATCCGTGGGTGGCTATTTATCTATTTATTTCTTGTTATATCTCAAGATTGAACATTTTAAAATATATAGTTTTGATTCTCTTTCATTTTTGATAAATAAAGAAACAAACTGCACAAACAGATAATTATTTTTAAAATTTGACATATTTGACACTAAGACAGGCGTCTCAAGCCATGATACTGGAACGGTACAAATCTAGTGCGTGGCGCCCCCGAGGTGCTCTAGAGCGCGCCCCAATGTGCATACTGGAAAGCGGCTCTGGAAAGCAGCTCGATCAGAACGTAGACAATCTTTATTTACGCGTAGATGTCCATGCTTGGTTACAGGTGCATCAGGAAACAGAGGCGAGGAAAATGAGAGCAGCTTCATAGCGCCTAAGTGCTCAAAGCGTGGCACCCGAAAGCAGCTCAGGTAATGGAGCAGAACTCGCCGATCATGGAGCAAAACGGAGCAAAACTCGGAGAACAGAATGAATAGAGAGTTCTCGTGCTTCAGACGCTACGCTAATACGGTACCGTTAACAATACGGTATTTAACATGGTATTTTATAGTTCTCGGACACATAAATCTTCTAATCCCTTATTAGGCATTCCAGGTCACGTGACTTTTGACAGGTCCGCCATATTAGCTGAGGGGCAAACAAAGCCTATAGATCATTGTTTACAATGTTTTTTGAGTTTGTGCTTTGGAATTTTTGCGTTTTTTGATTTGTTCAATAAGTTTTAAGTTGTTTTTAGTTTTTGTGAATGAATGGAAAGAATGAATGAATCTTTATTTACAGACATGCCACTTTACATTTCAACTCAACAATAGTAAACAAACAATTTATTAACAAAAATAATGCTTAAGTTTAAAAAATAAAAAAGTTTAATACTAACAACCTTACAAATAAACTTTAGCAAAATAAATTTGTGGTAGAATGACTCCTTAAACGTTTTGACTGTTCTGATCGGTGCACAGATCTGGCATGTAGCTTAGCTTGCTGGCTTGTTCATTCTGGGCTTTTATCTATTATCGTAGTATATCCTAAATTTGTACTGGAGACCCAATCCGGATTGTTTGTATCCTTAAATTCTGCTGGACTACCTAAAAGGTATTAAAAGTTACCTACTTGTAGAAACATAAACAACTTTTTTGATATACCGAGATGAAGTGTTTTTGTATTTTAACAACAAGACAGTCATAAAACTTACCATTCACAAAATGTTTCGAACAAACTCGAGCATTTTCAACAATGTTACAGTCAAATCTCCCCTTTTGAGGCATCTAATTCACATACTCCGTTGTTTTTTTGATAGCTCGTTTATGCGATCCCCTCGATCTTTAAATGCTGCTGGAATCCTAAAAAACCTCACTTTATCCCTTTTAGCTTTATTGGAGCACCCAAAAACGCCACAAAACGAATAGGCATCTTCACAAAATATTACTTCAAAAATTCTCGGCTTGCATTGAAAATAACACTAAATCAGGTTATGTTTGGCTTGTGTTTGCCTCTCAGCTAAAATGGCGGATCGGTTATGACGTCAACGGAATGCCTAATTCCTGTTTACATTTTGACGGCTGAGTTGGGTGATCTAACCTAACTTTTTTTTGTTTGTTTTCTAACTTATTTATCCTGGGCCGAGTTCAGAAATAACGCACAGGGTGCGAGTGCGATTTTATGGGTGTGCCTGAAGTGACAATTGGCCATTGGGCCCATAGCACCGTCTTGCATTTTTGAACAGCTAGGGCGTCGCACCGGTGTCACACTCACACTGGGTGTGCCATTCCTGAACTCGCCCCTGAAGATTTTAAGTTTGATTAATTTTCTCTTGGTGTTTTCTATGCAGGAATTATTAGAAGTTGCTGTTCTTGCAGACGTAAATGGAACGTTAACTAGTCTTGACATAGCATAGCGTTACGGTAAGGCATACGCTAAGTCCCGTTAGATAGCGGGCTCCGTTAACGTTAATCCGTAAAAACTGTCATTCTTGTCAAATAGCGTTACGCGGTATTTGAAATTTGGACAGCACGAGAACTCTCTATGATTAAACAAAGTTTTCACTGGTGTGGGGGGCTAGGAGAGATTCTTAGGAGCTCGTAGGTCATTCCAGGTAATGGAGCAAAACTCGCCGATCATGGAGCAAAATGGAGCAAAACTCGGAGAACAAAATGCGCATATAGAAACTCCAAAATTTTCACACGTGTTGCAAGGAGAGATTCTTGGGAGCTGTGTAGTTCATTCCAGAGCCGCTTTTGGGTGCGTGTGCGAAGCACCTGGAGCATTTCACGCCCATTACACTCAATGCGCTTTGCACTCGAACGCTTGAAAATATCAGTCCGGTGCCTCACGGGAAACAGGCGGAAAGTGAGAGCAGCTTGAGAGCGCCAAACTCTGTTCGCTCGAATGTGTAAAATTGTAGCCGGAGTACTTCGGACTAACTCGCCGATTATTGAGCAAAACGGAGCAAAACTCGGAAAATAAAATGAGCATGTTCAAACTTCAAAATTGTTACCGGTGGCGGCTAGGAGAGATTTTTGGGAGCTCTGTAGGTATCTCCTGGTAATAGAGCAAAACTCGCCGATTATGGAGCAAAACTCAGAGAACAAAATGATCATGATCAAATTTCAAAATTTTCACTTGGGGGGGACTGGGAGAGAATCTTGGGAGCTCTATAGGTAATTCCTGGTAATGGAGCAAAACTCGCCGATCATGGAGCAAAACTCGGAAAGCAAAATGAGCATGATCAATTTTCAGAATTTTCACTGGGGTAGGGGGGCTGGGAGAGATTCTTGGGAGCTCTGTAGGTCTCTCCTGGTAATGGAGCAAAACTCGCCGATAATGGGGCAAAATGGAGCAAAACTCGGAGAACAAAATGAGCATGATCAAATTTCTGAATTTTCACTGGGGGGGGGGGGGGCTAGCATTAATTCAGTCCCCCTCCCACCTAATAGGCCACATAGTCTCTCCATTGTAATGGAGCGAAAATCGAAATAAGTGGAGCAAAATGAGAGCAAAATTATGGGATCATTTTCATCCAGAAATGTTCTATGGGGTGGGGGGGGCTAACTTACCTGACCCTTGCTTGCATGTCTACAATTGGAGCCTTTTAACGCTGGCAATGGAGGTCATACTGGGAATAATGCCTCTTAACTTAATCTCTTTGTGGAGGCACGGGCCGGGAGGCTTCACTCAGATTCAACGATTGGGGATAATAGGTTCATAGAGGGCTGCAGATGAACATGGGACATGCAGGGGCCTGAACTGATACTATCAGACAGGACCCCCTTCTCACCAGAAAGGATGAAACGCCAAAAACTTCAGCCCTCCTTAGACAATACAAAGTCGTCATCTCTGCAAGGGTAGCCTGACCCAGGTTTCCTCAACCCGATGGGGCTCATCTGGTAATCTAAAGTCTGGTACACCGACGAGTCTCTGATGGGAGAGGGTCCAGCGGTTTGTGTATTTATATGAGGAGAGACCTGTTGCGAGAATCAGGCTTGCACTGTATATCAGTCTGAGATCTACGCCATACAGGTGTGTGTTCAGGAGAATCTCCAGAGAGGTTACTCAGGCAAGCACATTTATACATGCAGCGAGAATCAAGCAGCTTTGTTCAGACAACGTCAACTCAAGGCTCAAGCTTGGCTGTATGACAACCCTAAAGCTACTCAGTGGAGTTTCGCTTCAATAAGGAGAACATGAGGCAATTCCAATGAGCCTGTTAGACCCAAAATTCCATTTGAAAAAGTTCAGGCGATGGTCCGAGACTAAAGGGAAACCGAAGACAATTTTGTAGATGAATTAATAAAGTTTGACGTGTTGTTTTTTTATTCTTCAAAAACAAAAAAGGGAGAAATAAAACATTTTTGACAATATCAAGAAATTTATTGTAAGTCAATTCTATAAAGTACACCATTAATTGATTCAGTATCTCTGATAAATACGACGAATGCACAAAATCTACCCTGTTTTAAGAATACTTTTTTTATTGATTAATTTTTTTGAATAGATACTCAATAAAATATCAAAAAGAAAAATAGCATATTGCTCAACAAGTTTTAGGAATAGCTTATTTCACACAAAGTGCCTTATTTATAAGTAGACCTAAGCAGTGTGAAAAGTGCTTTTCATCCAAGTTGTGCAATATACTTTTCCTGTAACTGCCTCGAATTAAAATCGCTTGTTGATAAACTATTTCCTAACCCTGCATTTTTATTGCTGCCCTTGTCAATTTAACTCTGACATTGTCAGTTAACTTTTTTATTGGGCTAGATAAAATACATGCTTGATTTTCAAGGTTAGGTAGGTGGTGCGTTTTAGACAATTTCCGAAACAGTCCTAGAAAAAATTATTTGTGCGATAATAACTACAATAAACGAATAAATGAATATTTTATTACATGAGCAGCATTGGGTAATTTCCACAAGTCAAATGCCAATGGAAAACAATACGAATATTTGTTTTCCAACAGCGAAAATCAAGACAAACACTTACAATAATATGAAATACCAAAAAAATCTTCAAAACAATGAAATAATCCTACCCAACAGATTTTGGGTATTATGGTGTAATATCCAAAACATGTCAGGTCATATCACCATAAATCCACCCCAAATATACGGGACATTTTTTAAAAAACAAACGAATAATAAATAATAATTATATAAGATAGAAAATCTATTAGACTTAATAATTACCAAGCTCGATAAGTTTTGTTTACTATGATAAATATTGCCTTACCTAATTAAAAAATGCTAGATAATTGGCTATATATAATTCTGTACCTCAGAGGTAAATTGTATTAAGTCATAATATTATAATTTAATATACTGACACTAAGTGATTCTAGTACAATTTACCTTGAAGCCTGGTGAGTCACTTGACACAGGTTCCAACTGGGTACTTCGGTTGTCTTAAAAGCTAGGTGTATGAAATTTTTTCCGGAGGTCAAGTAAGTTATTAGAAGTAGTATTCAGCTAAAACCCCATTTTCGAAAAAAAAGTGACTTAATACAGTTTACCTCTGAGGTACAGAATTATAAGAAAATAATAAAAAAAAACTTCTACTTTTTGAAATATACTATACCGAATCAATAAAACGATTAATTAATTAAATGCAATAATAAACACGAATATAGAAAATATATAATCATTAAATCACTTAAATAAATTGCATCTGCTTTTGGCGGAAATTGTGAACATACATACTTATAAAAAAAAACTCTTATTATCCATTAACCACAATTATTTATCAATATTATTATTAATATATGGGGCAAAACACTGAACTAGCTACATTGTTGCTATGAATTACTTACTGCATATTTGAAGAAATCATAAATTAGGGTTTGTAATCAGCCATATACCCAATAATGTAACACTTTCTTAGCCTAAATAATTATGAAAACATTACCCCACATAAAATTCTAGATCTAGAGATAAGTGATAATAGAAAAACCGATCCAAACGATTGAGCAAGCCCAAATTATTAATATACCTACATACTGTCTTCTGGTAAATTTTGTATTAAATGGCACATTCTTACCTTACTTAAGTTCAGTCAAAATTTGGTAAAAATAAAAACACACAAATTCTAAAATGGGCCCACCCAATAATTTCACTTTAGGGAAGAAATTAACTTTAAGCACCATTTTCATATTACTAAAATTAATACCGTAATTATTATAAAAGATAAATTACCGCTGTTGCCTTTGTGCGAGATCAAAACCACTCAATTAAAAAGAATTATTTTGATTGTATATTATTTGAACCATTCGTTACTTTAGGTGGAATTGAATTTCTCCCCCAAGGTAAATTAAAGATCGGTATCGTACCAGGCCGCCACCTGGTTGTTGTCTTGGGGCGGAGTTGGTAGCTGGTCTATTCCATCAAAATTCAAGTCAGGCTCAGCCCCTGTTACGTCCATAGCGTCTAGGGGTGAGCCGATGTCCATAGCTTGCATGTTTAAGGGTATCTGGTCATAGCCTGATCAGAATGAAAAACAGAAATTAGAATATTCTAACAAAGTTGAATATTTTAGGGTTAATTGATTCTCAAAATTAGCACTAAATTATTGGGCACATTATGTTAATATCAAGTTAGCTCAAAGTTAGAGCATTTGAGACTATAATGGAAACTACAATAGATGCAACTTTTAACTAATTACATATAAACGAAAAAATATACTGAATAAAAGTATTATTTTTACTTATTTTTAAAAGCTCAGCCTAAAGTGTTTTCATACATATTGCGATCTTGTTCTGTATTATTTATGTTTAAAACATTGCAACAATTTTGAGTTGGACCTTACTTTATTTTATTCAATACTTTCAAGTTTTAACACTTTTATTCAATATGTACCATGTTATGTCATGTTTTATTCTACCTTCTCTATGGATATGAAAGTTGTCATATCAACAAGATTTGAGTTTTCATTTATCTCACAACAACATGGGGATGTTAGCCAATGAAATGAATAAATACGATAACAAAGCTAAAAGTCATATCAGTAAAAAAAAAAGAACTACCATGCTAAGTATCTAATTATTATTACAAGAGAAGCAAAGCATGCACCACTACAATCACCTTCACGATTTTAAGTTGTTAGATGTCAATTAGAATCCTGGAAAAATATTATGTCTTAGAAGTGTACTAAAAATTGAGTTGTTGATACGATTTATTTTTAATTTCTCGACAAATCTCATAATAGAAGAAAAAGAAAATTTTGATTGTTAGGAAAGTGTCTGTTTTGTTTTAAAATTCAATTTACCTTGTTGCTGATAAGGCCTACCAGTGTGGCTGCTATGTACACTAGGCGGCCCTTGGGCGTACATATTATCATAGGCCTGTTCCGGACTCAAAATATCCTAAAATATTTAAAAAAAAAAAAAAAATTGCAACAAAAAATAATCCAACCAAAATATACTTGAAAAAAAAAGATGCAAATAAAAACATCTACTTAAAAAAATGCATTCAAAGCTGCAAAAGTACTAAAATAAAAAGAAGGAAATCTAATTAAATAATTTGGATGACATGATGTTTATGTTTTAAAAATTATTTCTATAATGCCTATTCACCTGGAAATCTGTCCCCATGCCCAGGTCAGGGTTCCAAAGGTTCTCCTCTCTAAACAGTGAGCTTGATAACTCCATGGAGAGGCGCTTTTTGTAGTCTTGAGGCTTATCTTCAGACATACGGAATAGCACTGCTGCAGCGTATGTTGCAACACCTGTCAAAGAAATGATTATTTAACAAGTGAAGAGAAAGTTTCAAAAACAATCTCATCTCACAAATCTGATGAATAATAACATTGTCGAGAAAATTGAAAAAACTAAATATGTCTGAGGTGGTTGAAGTTATATTTTGGTATAGTAATTTAAGTTCAGTAGTTAATGAAATTGATGAATGGAAAGCAAGAGTTATGTCATCAAATCCCACTTTTATATTACTTACACTTGGCTGCAAGAAAGCTTGTGTAATAGCTTAATTAATTTAGATGGGTATACTGCATACCGTCAAGACAGGCAAAACCAAAAAGGTGGGGGTGTGTGTATTTTAATTAAAAACCAAATAAGTAGAAATAATATAAATTGTAGAATCTCCAGCAATTACAGAATGGAAGCACCGACTGATGCAGTTTGGTTAGAAATATCCAAATGGGAAGTATAAAAATATCCCTGGTATGCATTTATAGGCCAGGTACTATGACCAGTAGGGAAGCCAATACACTTATGACAAATACTATAAAAAAAGGCGAAACCACCCCATTTATACTGTGGAAGACTTCAACTACCCAAACATAAATTGGGAAAACCATATAAATGCACCTCCAGACAAAAAAAAAAACACAGAAATGTATGAACATGTATCTTGAAACAAATGTGCATCAAATTGTAAATATTCCAACAAGGTACAGGAATAATTAGATATCACTTCTGGACCTTTTTCTCACTAATGATCCTAAAAGCATCTTTGATTTTTCTACAGAACCTCCCATTGGCCGCAGTGATCATGTGCTGATTAGGGCGAAAACACATTTGAAAATTCCACCTCAACAAACACAAAAAATAACTAGAAGAAATTTTCTAACTGCCAATTATGGAAATAAATATCTTCATCAGACTCCAAGCAACAAGACAAGTAGATCCACAATTTGAGAACTTTCAGTGCGTTATGAGAGATGCAATGGAGAAATACATACCAGTCAAGCCAGTAAAAACTAACCCACAAAAACCATGGATAAACCAGTATTTAGTCAGGGAAATAGATAAGAAACGTAGATTATGGGATAACTATAAAACAAATAAAACACTAGACAATTATCAAGCTTACATGTTACAGAGTAACAAAACCAAGCAGAAGCTGCTTGATGCCCAGAGAAAGTATGAAAATGGTCTTGCGAATGCGGATTCACCCAAAAAACTGTTTGAGTATATAAGTCGAAACTTGAATGAATCCAACCATAACTTTAAAAGATCCTGGATCTGAGCAGTTTTTGGATGGTGTAACCATGGCAGAGAAATTTGCAGAGCAGTTTGACACAGCTTCTATAACTGAAGCTTATCCGGCTCCAGCCCTGCATGACAATGGAGTAGAAAGGTCTATCGAAGAAAGAAGTAGAACAAGCTCTGAAATGCATGGAAAAAGACTCAAGCCCAGGACCTGATGAAATCCCAACAGTTTTTCTCCAGAACTGTAGTGCCACAATTAGCCCATTGCTTGCAGGGGTGATGCGGGAATGTATGCTTCAAACAAAAATTCCAGCACCTTGGAGATATTCCATTGTCACGTCACTGTACAAAAAAGGAGATCGACATAGACCAAAAAATTATCGCCCTATTAGTCTACCCGCTGAAATATATGGAGAAAATTATAGTTAAGGAACTTATATCTTTCTTTCTAAAGAACAATCTCACACCTTCAGCCCAACATGAATTTCTAACGAAATGTTCTACCGCTACCAATTTTTTGGAATGTCTTAATAATTGGACCAACAACCATAACATTGTCCAGTCAACAGATGTTATCTATCTAGCTAGATTATGTAAAAACATTTGATTAAGTCCCACATAACCTGTTATTAGTGACATTAGAGCACTTTGGAGTTAGAGGAAAGTTGCTTGCCTTGATCAAGGATCTGCTAGAAGATAGATTTTTCCAAGTGAGAGTTAATGGAAAGTTTGATTGCAAAATCTCTGCAAATCCTTTGATAGATGCGAATTTACTTCAAACTGATCTCAATAACATTGAAGAGTGGTCAAAAACATGGGGAATGAAATTGAACTCTGCAAAATGCACAGTACTAAGGATTGGCCCAACTAACCCTAACAAAGACTGTATTCCTAATGACTCTGCTTTGACATCAGTAAATGAACAAAATGATCTGGGAGTTGTAGTAACAAGCGACTTGAAGTGGGAAAATCACATAATTAAAATAACTAAAAAAGCTAACTCCTACATATACCTAATTAACCATGCCTTTAGAGACCATTCCATCGAGATGATATCTACCCTTTACGAAAGCTATATTAGGGCCAAAAATAGAATATGCTTATACTGTGTGGAATCCATATCACATTAAGGATATAGAGCTTGTTGAGAAGATTTAGCGCAGAGTGACAAAAATTCCCCCACAGTTACCATATCTGGAAAGATTACTCAAATTCAATTTGACATCCCTTAAAGAAAGAAGGCACAGAGGCGATTTAATTGAAACGTACAAAATAACCAGTGATTACTATCAGTGTAATCTGATAAATATTTTCCATCCATGTCGAAATCCTCATCTTTGTGGCCATTCTAAGAAGCTTGAAAAGGAAAGATCATCAAAACTACCTAGGAAAAACTTTACAGAAAACCGTGTAGTGTATTCTTGGAATTTGCTTTGCCAAAATACAGTGTCAGCACCAAACACTGATATTTTTTAAAATCATGTTGACAGAGAATTGAAAGAATACTCAGAAAGAATAATTCATTATGGTGCATAAAATAAATCTCACATATTCTTTTAAAATTTTGGTAAAATAACAATAGCTTCATCGGTTTCGACCGCCTGCTATTGTAATTCTAATAATAATTATAATAATAAAAAAAAAACTTAGTGGCCATTTCAAGGCCCGTTTTTATTGAAAGTTGATTTTTCTTTCCTTATTTTTTTCAATAAGAAATGCCACAATAAATGTAATTATTCATATTTGAACTAAGTACATATTTTTTTTTTCTTACCTTCGTTCCGTGAATGCAAAAGCTCGGTCAGCGGTGCAGTGGCGCCCTCTTGCTCTATCAAATCCGCCCCTTCTTTATCGGCGGCCAATTCACAAAGTACTCCAGCAGCTACTCGTTGTATATTTTCGATGTCGTTGAATAGAAGTTGTACGAAAACGGGAATAACGCCTTGTTGTCTGATTTGTTCGCGATTGTAGAATTCTCTGGCAAGAACGTGTAGAGCGCCAACAGTACCTAGAGAACAATTTAATGTTAAAAATACTCAAACACATTGCCTCGAAATCAAATTTTACCTTCAATAATTTCTTCCATTCTAACACCATCAGCGTAAGTTCCTGGTTGTTGACTGCCTCCACTTGCCAAGCTAGCTCGCTAAAGAATAATAACAAAAAATATATTGCGGATTTCAAAAAACCAAACTTGACTCACTCTCTGTGTATCTTGATAAGCTCTCATCAATAATTGCACCAAATAATTGATAGCACAAGATTCCCGTAATGGTGCGAAGTTATCCTGGCACAGTGCAAGGTTCCTGATCAGTCCAATTACAGCTTTCACCAAGGGCCAACGTGATGGCGGATTCAATAGTCTGACGATAACAGGAATACCTCCAACAAGCCTAAATAAATGTTCAAATTGCTGATAGAACGGTTTATTGCAAAATAAATTAATTCAGTACCTGTCATTCTGATCACTAGGTACTGACCTGACTTGATTTTGAGCCAACTCAGATTTCTCGTGTCTGGAAGTCAAGTGTCTCAGAGCACAAACAGCAGGTTCAGTTATCTCTTCTCGATCGCCAGCGTTCATGATAGTTCGTACAAGAGCCGAAATACCGTCGTATTGACAAACTGTTTCTTTATTGAATTGGTTGTTGCATGTCAAATTTGATAAGATACCTAAGAAACATTAAAAAAAACCGCTAGTAGTCGAATATACAGTGAACTGATAAATTGAATAAAATCACAACATTACGAATTGACTTGTAATTGGGATAACTATCAAATATATACATAATAATGCTTACCTGCAGCACAAGTAACAACATTTACATCGGACGATGCAAGGACTTGGACCAGAGATGACAACAAGGAGTCCAATCCATTGACTTTAGTGGCAGCATCAGAGAGATTTCTCAAAGTCCAGAGACAATTTTGAACCAGACGTTGACTTGAGTTGCCCAAATGCATGGCCAAAGCTTGCATACCTCCAGCTTCCACAATGGCTGGTTTATTGCTTGAGCATACTGATAGAACCTAAAATAAATAGTTATTATTTGCGAGTGATCAGTAGAAACACATCACAAATTATTACCTTCAAAACTCTGGAAGTTGTCCACAAAAGCTTCTCATAATTGTAAGATCTCATGATTCGCACCAATTCAACAGGACCTTGAGACGCCAGAATAATCAGTTTACTCTCCTGGTTGCCATAGGCCAAAATTTGCAGACAATCAGTAACAATAGCCAAAAACTTGGTATTGTTTCTTTGCAATAGTGCAACCATTTTTTGAAGACCTCCAGCAAGTCTCACCGCCATCTTAGAACCATCTTGATGAAGCAATAAATTGTGTAGAGTAGTTATGGCATAGAACAAAACACTTTCGACTGGTGAACTGAGCAGTTTCACCAAAGCTGGTATACCACCGCTTTTGAAAATAGCAAGCAAACCTTGTCTGTGGTGTGACAATTTATGCAGAGTACCAACAGCTCCTTTGGTGGTTTCCAAATCATTAGAGTTTGAAATGGCTCTGACCAAAGCGGCCACCATTTGTGGACTGTTCATGATGGCATGTCTGGATGCCTCCTTCTTTGACAGTTGATGCACCATCATGGCTGCCTGAGAAACAACTACTTGATCTTCGTCGTTCAAAAGTTTAATCAACTCTGGGATAGCTCTAGTGGCTAATTCAGCATCATCTTGGTAGTTAATTAGGTTAACTACAGCGTGTTTAAGCATTTGACTTGGTTCAGCTAAACGTTGGACAGCTGTTTGGTGTCCAGGGTCAAATTGTGTTGAAGGGATCTCAATTCCTTCTTCCAATGTTTCAGGAAACATAGCAGCCCTTACTCTGTGAGAACGGGTTGTGTTCAGCTGATTGTTCATGTCATCAACTTGGTCTTGAGTGAATCCTTGATATCCCTGGTCAAGATCGAAGAGATCCATATCCTCTTCTTCTTTGCCACTCAAAGATGGGACCTGGGTTTGAGCTCCGGAATGGATTCCAGAGTCACCCATATAGTTGTTTTGTTGCCACGACATCACGTTTTGTTCTTTGGAGTTTGCCATTGGCATGTCACCTGTGCCTTGGTAAGGCACTGGAAAAACAGAGGAGACTTAATGTTGGCATTTTATAAGAGTTAATAGTATCGATTGTGTGAAATGTGTGTTTTAGTTGAAATACCAAGCTAAATTACTTAGAAAATGTAAATTTTAGACTTGTTTAACAAAGAGAGCTGGTTCATTTCTAATTTTTTTTGGGAGCATTAACAGACATTTAATGAAGGAAATCGAAGCATTTCATTCATAAAAATCTGTTTGGAGCAAACAGATCTTAAGTTGGAAAAATTAATGCATTGAGAAGAGGCAAAAAAAACATCTGGACATGGTTTCTATTGATTACTACTTTGGCCAAAATTATGGCAGTTACCAAAATGCAACGAAACAGTATTGATATTAAATATTATAAAGGCATAAATGGTATATTTTACACACAAAACGCGAAAATAATTTCATATAAAACACAAGCATGATTAAAGGTATATTTAGGCATGCGGAATCACTACCTACTTTGCTCCTCTTGGGGTAGGTAGGTACCCCAAAAAAAGAAAGTAGCTATCATCGCTTTCATGAGTATCAATACTCGCCCTGTACCTGACAAACAATACAATATAATAATAGATCAACAAGGTCCTTGTGGTTGATATTAAGAAGATAAATATATTTTTGGCTACCTATATTTTGCAATGCAAATAAATTATCAATGATAACCACCAACTAATATCACTTTCCTTATGTTATTTTTAACTACAAGTTTAATTTCATATTTGAAATAAGTTTAAGGATAGTTGATATGTACAAAATTAATATTTTTTACCGTATTAATATTAAAATATGTAGTTTGTATTCTTGTGCTCTATTTTTAAGGCTTAACCCTTGGAATTGCGCATTTTAAAGCACAGGAAAGATAGGGTCTTCCTTGAACAGCATAATTTACATTTTATTTATTTGAAAGTTCAGTATTTAATACAGTTATTCTTGTCACACATCTCACTGAATACACCACAAGTTATACAGATTCATATTTTGATATTTAGAGTGTTTGGAAACAATAATTTTATGCACCTCGTATATTTTAAATTTACATACAACATTTTTGGTGTAGACTAACACCTTGTGTTACCCAATTAAACCTTAACTTTTATTAAATACATAATATTATGTATATTATATTTCTTTGAAATAATAATTATAATACTGCAGCCAAAATCCTTCATTAAGAAGTTGCGATCAAATACAAACTTATAACATAACAGACACCATATTACAAATACCACCCACCAACGTAGAAAATAAACTATACTGGGACACAACTAAACTGCTGGACAAATGAAACGGAACAAGGAAATTTTAGTTCAACTTTGGATTCCAATATTACGTGAACCAAAGAAGAAATCAATGAGCTGTTTGTGTAGTTTAAAAGATTATTTTCCCAAACCGCTCATTGATATCTTCCTAAGTTCGCGTAATATTGGAATTTTAAGCTAACCTAAACATTCGCTTGTTCCGTTTCATTTGTCCAGCAGTTTATTTACACAGACAGATAGCTCACAATAGACCAGCCATCACACCTATAGACAAAACAAAGAAGATCACATACACAATTGGTTTTCCTGTACCTAACGACAGAAATATCAGTAGCAAAGAACAAGAGAAGAAAGAGAAATATACACGATTGGCAATTGAAATAAAAGAACTATTGCAACAAAATTAAAATCCCTTCACTAATAATTTCACCAACAGGTGTTATACCTCACTTAATTATACAAAATAGGAACCTAAACTCCTATCAGATAACGTACATGCTCAAATTCAGAAAGCAGTCATTCCTAAAACTTACAACATATAGTAAGGACATTTTTGGACACAAGTATACAAACATAATATCACATAACAAATAGCCTTCTGTTTACTTGGTTAAAAGATAAAATGATGATGACCCATTTCAAGAAAAAGTTTAAACCTTATATCTTAATAAAAACAATTCAGGATATAAATTATGCACTTACATAAAGTTTACCACCAAATATGATTTAAAATCGAGTTGAAAATTTCGCGAATATGTATAATAATAATTATTTTTATTATTATTATTATTATAATTAGGAACTGTCTAGAGTCCCGAACGCGGGATCGGTAGAAAAAAGCAGAATCCCGAAGAGGCGTGGCTTGATAACAGCGATCGGGACTTGCCAAAAATTATCCGAATCCCGACTTCGGGACCAGGGTAACAAAAGTGAACTCCCGAATTCGTAATAATTGTTTATGTATTATTTGTTTATCCTATACACCTAGGTTAGATTAGCCAACTGCTGTGTGTTTTGGCTGAAAATTTGTATCCTTTATTATGGGGTTAATATAAAAATGACACATTTGGTTCATATAAAGAATTACAAGATCCTATTGATTTATATGAGAAAGAAAATATGGTGCAATTTTGGAAACGGGATGCAAAAACTATCACATATGATGCTTCGCGCCCCTAATTTATACAAGACAGTTATAGATGAGCCTGATCTCAGATGAAAATATGAAATAATCCCTTATCATGAACAAGTTGTTGTTGATAACCCTATCGAGACTTATGAGATTCAGGACTATGATGAACAAGAGCAGCAGTTTGAAAATTCTGAAATAATCCCTAATCATGAACAAGTTGTCGGTCGGTTGATACCCCTATCGAGACTTATGAGATCCACATGGACTATGATGAACAAGATCAGCAGTTGGAAAATACTGAAATTACCGTGTTTAAATTATTGTCATTGGTATATATTTGCAATTGAATATTAAAAGTCGAGGCAGACCTAGAGGCAAGAATTTAGCGGCGATAGGCCTGCCCAGTTAAAAAGAAAAACAAAAGATCTACAAAATGAGATGTCAAAGTTTCTTTTCCATATTGTTTACCTTCTAGAAATATACGATAAGTATTCGTTTTTTACTATTTCCTTGTTTTTTTATTAATTGTCTGATAAAATTAAGTCGGGAGTTTACTTCTGTTACTACCAATGAAGTTACTACAGTCCCGAGGTTGGGATTCGAATAATTTTTGGAAAGTCCCGAACGCCGTTATTAAGCCACGCCTCTTCGGGATTCTGCTTTTTTCTAGCGATCCCGCGTTCGGGACTCTAGACAGTTCCTTATAATTATTATAATTTCCTTCTCATAAATGTAATAATAAATTTATATTATTTTTTAAACAACAGTAAAAGACAGGTGAGTGTAAGCTTGAGTCGAGAGTCGAGGCTTGAGCTAGCATTTCAGATGTCAAAAACCTCAATTTTTCTGAGAATCAAGGTTGCAGCTAAATTTTATTAATTTATGCCCAGAAAATTATTACAATGTAGGGTACATTCTAATACCTATAAAGGTAATCAGCTCGGTAATCAGTTACCTATACATAAAACTGGAGACACTTAAACTAAACTTAAAATCTATATAATTCCACCATATGCGTAATGCCCCAATAATGCATTTGAAATGAAATGAGTACTCGCACAGTATATAAGAACAACAAAGCTCACAACAAAGTAGGCATTGCACCTAAAACTCATTGCGAAAAACACATATAAATATAAAGAACAAAGAAGAAACAAAACATAACAGTAATTTATAACAACAATAAACAATTAACTCTGAAGGGCTCCAAGACACCCTGTGAGAAATTAGAAATTATATAACGGGTCTTCCAAAAAAAAGTAAATGAAAGATGGCTATGGTTTTTTCAATGTGTATGTCTTAGCAATATTTTTCTATAATTTTGTCATTATCATGTCAAAAATCCTGACCAATAAAGAAATAATAAATAATGCGACATACGTTTTCGTAACGAAAGCACTCTTTGATTTAGTTTTTTTTTATGGAGATCCGTTATTAATCGTTATTATCAGCAAAAGTTATATGGGTAATCTTGTTTGTTTTCTTTCAATTAGCGGAAAATAATTTTCATCAAAAACTCCTATTCAGAGTATAAAATTAAATCAAATCAAAGAAATAAATCACACTCATATTATTGGGTGAAGGGGTTATAGTAAATAATAACCATATTTTAATAGTGTTTATATTATTAAAGTAATTGAATAATTGAAAACGTCAGAGATCCTTTTTTAACCTTTGACACAAATCAATGAATACTATTATCCATTCTTATCAGCTAAATATTCCAGTATTATTACTCGCTGGCAGAAATTCTTCAATAGTTAGCAAAAATAACACAAAAAGTAGACACATTGTTTTTCTTGTTTTTCAATTACAAAGTTAGGTGGAAATTTGTTTGACAGATGTCACAGCCCATTAAATTTGGTTATTTTGGGCCATGCGACACAAATTACTCGATCATGTCAACATTATACTGATAATTTCCGTAGGGTAGTTTGCAATTACTATGACAACACCAATGTTCGTAAGTATTATCAAACTAAATTCTCATAATATTAAGTAGTTGCTTACGAGCTAACCATTTCTTGACCCAACTTCAAGAAAAGGAACTAAGTTTCATGTAAGATTTGACAAAACTAGGTTAGAATCTTACCTCCCTCTTCTCCCCTCGAGCAAAAAAATAGATTGCCTGGGCCAATTGATATTTAAATCGCGTATACAGGGTGTTCCGAAACTATTGTGCCAAAAATCAAGGGATGATAGATCACGCCAAAATAAACGTTTTTTACTTATAAACACATAGGCGCATGCGCTTTGGTTATGTGATAATAAAACATTACATGTCGCGCTGTGGTAGCCACCTTACACATAAAGAAACGTGTTTGAAGCAGAAACTGTGTTATCAAATAATACAAAAAACAAGGAATGCTTGCAGTATTTACTAAAAACAATGATTCACAGCAAAATATGCTCAAAAAGCTACGACCACCCACTTCCATACGTGCGAGACAGCGCCATAGCATAGCCTCCTCCTGAACATGTTGAAAAATTCATGGTATTTCGAGAATTTCAGCAGCTGCTGCAACAATCCTTCCTAATACTAACTTCCTCTAGTTGTTTCAACCGGAGTGTCGTAAACAAGAGCTTTCATATGACCCCATAAAAAAAAGTCGCATTCGGTCAGGTCTGGTGAACGTGGAGTCCATGCCCCCTTAACAATCACTCTTACCAGATGTTTCGTTGAGATGTTCTCCTAAGGCTAACAAGTAATGTGGTGGTGGTCTGTCATGTTGGTACCCTGTGTTTTGTCTGGCATACAGGGAAATAGTTTCGGGAAGGGTTTCCTGCAGAAATCTACTCGATATTTCTGCTACAACGCTGTTACACATGCATTTAGGCGGATGGTCGTATTTTTGAGCATCTTCTGATGTCAATCATCATTTTAAATAAATACTGCAACCATACTTTGGGTTCTGTATCATTTAATAATACAGGTTCTGCTTATTCGAACACGTTTCTCGGTGTGCAAGGTGGCTACCAAGGTGCGAACTGTAATGTGCTATTATCACCTAACCAAAGCGCATGCGCCTATGGGTTTATAAGTAAAAAACGTTTATTTTGGCGAGATCTATCATTCCTCAATTTTTGGCAAAATAGTTTCGGAACACCCTGTATATGTAACTCTGCAAAGGGTGCCTGTGATAAAATACTTGAGTCTGCAGATGAAAATTTAAATTGGGGAGGGAATATGTAAATAATATTTCAAGAAAAATGCTTCCACAGCTATATTTAAATAATGTAGAAATTATTTAAAAGACAACATTAAATTAAATGCTTATAATGCATCTTTCAGATACTTTCTTACTGTATGGGGTATGTGTGCATATACAACTTCTAGCACAATGCAAATATTGCAAAATAAAATATTGAAAGTACTCGACAGGTTATGCGAGACGCAGACACACAAAAACACTATACAGGGAGCAGGAAATCTGGCAGCTTGACAAGGTTTTGCAGTCAGAACAATGCAAGTTATAGTTTAGAATAATTCACAAGAAACAAAAATAGTATTGTCTAATGAAACTAGAGCTGAAAATAACATCTATCAGAGTTACACTAGATCTAACAAAGGACTGAATGATTCTATTGTAGCTTTGTCAAAGACTTACTACAATTAATCACCATATTGTCTTGAAAATATACAGTTACAGCCTCTTTGCTAAGAAATTAAAAAATTACGTTGATTTATTGTGCCTTTTTCTGTGAGGTCAACCAATTAATTATTATTTTGATTATTACATGTACTAGACTAGAACTACCTACCTAGGTATACTCTTGAGGCCAGAGCCATTAGGTATGCACTGTTTGAAAAGTTTTTCTTTACCATTACTGTAATGTAATTCACTGTTCAAATAAAAGAATGTTTCAAAAATAAAATAAAAATTTAAATGTTTGCTTTATATCATTTTGCACAAAAAACATTCTAAGTAGTCTAATCATATAAAAATAAAAAAATTCTTAACAGCAATCCCAGAAATCTCACCGCAATCACTCCAAATTGCAGCTAATAGTCATAAAGATCAATTTGAGCAGTAGTTTTGTTTCAAAATTGCATTAAAACTCATAAAATAGTCTAAAAGAATACTAATTCGAACAGAATGATGAAACCTTGGATTAACAACTATTGGAAATGACAACGACCAAAATCACAACTCAATTGTTACTGCCCATGCCTTTACTACATTTTTTTTCTCCTGAAACTGCTTCCTTTTGGGTTTTTTTCTTGAAACAACAAGACAGAATGTCCAAAATTGCCTTGAAAACCACAAAATGCTCTAAATTTGTGCTAAAAGTGCTTCTTTCCATAATCCTTGTAGAAAGTGCTTCTACCAGCAATCCCTAAATTCTGCAATCTTGATACAAGTTTCTTCTAGTGGTTACCCCCCTTGGGGTAAATATTTAGAAAATCACATTCAGAAAGAAAAAAAAAAGCAATAATTCTGTCTATTTTAATTGTTCTACGATTTGTGGAAAATAATTTTGCTAAAAAACTCTCATTGGGAGTCTAACATAAAGGGCCCCACAGACTATGATGAAACACGATGGTTTTCATCACCGCGATGAAACACATCATTCCAAAACCGAAGCGTGTGGTAGAAAAATACGATGGTTTTCTACCACACACCTCGGTTTTAGAACGACGTGTTTCATTGTGGCGATGAAAACCTTCATGTTTCATCGTAGTCTAAGAAACTGTCATGTAAGGTCAAAGACTGAGGTGAAGGATCTATAATAAATAATTACCACTACCACTACTGGTATCTAAGGAATTAAATTTTGTTTAATTAAGCACCTAATGGTGAATCAGACTTAACCCCTAATTTCTCCCCATCAGCATGGATTTATAAGGGCTAGGTCCACAGTCACTAATCTCCTCACTTATGAGAAACACCTGTTGGAAGCCTTGGAGAATCGTGAACAGATGGATGCTGTCTACACAGACTTCTCCAAGGCTTTTGACAGGGTTGATCATGGAATCCTGCTTTCTAAGTTTCAGGCCGTTGGTGTCCATTCCATTTTCCCTAGGTGGACGGAAAGTTATCTTTCCAGAAGAAGACAAGCTGTAAAAATTGGTGATCATGTTTCATCCGAGATTGAGATCAACTCAGGTGTCCCGCAGGGTGGACATTTGTCTACATTATTCTTCAATATCTTTATTAATGATATTTCCAACTCGCTTGAAACTTCCCTTTCTCTCACCTATGCTGATGACAGCAAATTTTACAAAAAAATAAAATGTCAACAGGACTGTCTGGATTTTCAAAGAGACCTTGGTAAGCTAGCTCAATGGTGTCATGAAAATAAATTGGCTTTGAATACAGATAAATGCAAAATTGTAACCTTTTCTAGAATTAAAAAACCTATTCATTTCAACTACAAAATAAATAATTGTCAGTTAACAAGAGAAACCCATATTAAGGATCTTGGAGTATGGTTTGATACCGAGCTGAATTTTAATCACCATGTAAATGCTACAGCGAACAGATCACTCAAACTCCTTGGTTTCATTTTCCAAACGTTGGAAGATTTTAACAACATAAATATAATTAAAAATGTGTAAGTACTGTTCAGTAGTACGATCTGTATTGGAGTATGCCTGCGTTGTTTGGGCTCCCCACTACCAAGCTTATGAAACTGAGCTGGAAAAAGTTCAGAGAAAGTTTCTCAGACTTATTGCGTATTCACTTAGAATACCAAAAGATGAAATAAATTACAATGAATTGCAAAATCTTCTAAACATCACATCTCTACAAAAACTGAGAGAAAATTTTGACTTATGTTTCCTATTTAAGCTTTTAAATGGTGAAATAGATTGTGCAGAACTATTGTCTTCTTTCTGTTTTAATACAACTAAAAGATTGAGGAATAACAATCTTTTCTCTATTAATTTTCATAGCACTAATTATGGGTACTCTTTGCCTTTAAGTAGAATGGCCAGAAATGCCAACAAATTACCTGATAATATAGATTTATTCTCTATAAGTTATAATACACTAAAACATAAGCTGACTGAATTATAATAATTTATGTTGTCTCTGTGACTTTTATCTTGTAATTTTAACTGTGTAGTCTGCTAATGTTTGCATAATGTGATATTTTTATCTTATATAAATGTGTTTGAACAAATTTTTTTTAACCATTGTTGCTTTAACCTAGGCTATGTATCTGCATAATGTGATATTTTTTATAAATGTATTTAAGTTGAAATTTTTTAACCATTGTAACTTTCTGTGAATGACCATTGTTTGTTAATAAAAATCTATCTAATCTATCTATCTATCTATCTATTCAAAAAATATCATCAAAGCCTAGTTGTACAATCTTGGTTCAAAACAGAGTTCAGCTAAACTCGACTGGTACTTGAACTTCCCCATTTAAAATGCATTGCTGTCAAAATTGATAGAACTTGATTATTAGCTGACAGCAATGTATTTTAAATGAGAAAGCTCAAGTACCAGTCGAGTTCAGTTGAACTTTGTTTTGAACCGAAATTGTACAACTGGGACTAATACTTAATAATAATAGCTATATGATAAGATAGGTTTACCAAAACAATGAAAAGTCAAGGGAGAAAATTCTATCTTAAGAGAATTGTTTACTTTTCTGTCCAATGCTCCCAAAAGAAAGGATAAATGTAGTTGTTTTTAGTTGTGTAAATTTAAGAAAAAAAAAATATTTCACTTACTTGCCCTGCTTTGATAGCTCATGAGGAAAAGGCGTCGAATTAGTCACACCACACCTGCAATGCAATAGAACAGGAACTTTAGACACTACACAATAAAAAGCACCACCTTATTTTACTTGGGTATGCGTTATTGGTAGGCAGGTAGGGAGGTTTCATACAATAAAGAAAATGAGATAATAATATGAGTCACTCATGGGGAATTCTGATTCATAATATAAGCAATTGGATGTGTGAATAAATAAATCTTACTAACAAGCAAGAAATCGAGCACGAAATCTACCATGTTTTCACAACAAAAGCTATAAGAATTACAAATACGCATAAGAATGTTATGAATACTGCATCCCACGCACAAAGAGATACGGAATCCTCCATTTTGAGATCACATACAACACAAAAATACACATACACAAATCAATCCCTGCTTTGGGAATTGAGGAATTTGACCTAGAATCCAGCATTCATAGACAAAACCGATTAGCTACATCATACTGGAAACTATGAATATTACCTTTTCAACACGGAAAAGCACTTTTCACGAAATTTAAGCAGAAGAAAGCTGATTTACTCTAGATTTTATCAATATCCCACGACAACTCTCCAGTCAAATCATAGGAGTGAAATGAAATGTCAAAACACAACTCTATTTGGAAATGGAGCATGCGCATTAAAGCATTGGATTTTACAGTACCGGACTTGGGGTTCATAACATTCCAAAATGCATTTATCATATAGCGCTTTCGACTTCTGCCTCAAAACTGCACCCGAATGATCAATAAGCGATCCGAAACGGAATCTCATGTTCGGCTTAAAACGGAACGTTGCTCTATTGCTAGATTCACGTGTTCGACTCGAGCAATACGAGGACGCTCTCAAATCTCAGTAGTAAAGCTGAAAATGTGTTGTCATAAAAGTTGTATTCTTTTCACACCTATGAGGAGCTCCGGAACAGCTCCGGGGAGTTACGCGCTTATTCCTTTCGAAAAGTGTTTGTTGCACATGAGTACTCAAGCCCGAAGTAAACCATTTAAATGCATGAAAGCCAGCGCATCTGTTCCTTTCAAATCGGGGCGACTAACACCAGAGCGAGTAGCTCTAGCGTTTCAAACTCTTGAAAGGAATACAGCTAAAGGTGCATCCGGATCTGAAGTTTCTACTCCAATCAAACTAAACGCGTACTGCGCGCACGAACAAATAGGAACATACGGTTCGCGCAACTGATTTTTGCCTTTTGCCATGTTCGGATCTTTTTATTATGAATTAGCTTTTAGGATTCCTGCCGTTGTAGAAGGCATGTTTGGGATTCGATAGTACGGGATATCTTTTATACTCGTCAATTCTTCGACGAAAAAATTAACTCACTAGCGCAGCCTGAATCGCAAGCATTCCATCAGAGTCTGCGGGTGACGTCATCACGATGAGATGCTGATAGTGACGTCACTCGCAGGCCTAGAATTGGTTGGAGAGGGAGTTAGGGGAGTATGACACAATTGACACATAACTATCTGAGCATAATCAGATAATGTTTGATTAGAGAGATATTGCAAATCAGCCTTAATAAGGCTAAAACCTTATTTAGACGCGATAGGTCATTTCCTTACTTCGAATGACAAGTTTAGATATTGAAAATTTCCAGAAACGACTTTAGGAGTTGATGCCTTATTTCTAACCCAAAAATCTTGAATTTTTGGTAATGTTTATTTTTTAAGTTTTGAGCCTGGAGTGTTTTTTTCTGATGTGGAACATATGCTTAGATATTTTGAAAATAAGGAATTATTTGTTCAAAATATTTATATAGTACGTGTAAAATCGTAGAACAGTGGCAGAAAAATGACACAAATTCTCTAGCAAAACCAGTTCATCGTTATGTAATCCTTGATGTTGTTTGTTTGGGTTGTTCGGGGCTGCACTTCCTGCTATGGGGCGTTCGTTTGTGAGCGTTTTATATGGTTTATCTGCCATAATCTGAGATATTACAGCTTAGTTCAAGTTGGTGCGACACAAATAATAACAAACCTTTAGTCCGCCCCTTTTCTGTGCCTCGATGCTGTTTTCATTTTGCTCCATTTCTCAAAGTTTGCAAAAAAAAAATCAAGAAAAGTGAAAATTTGTTATTATGAATCTAAAATCTATGGTTATAAACACAAAACATAACAAAACTCAGCTCGCGATTCCTACCGATCATCTCCGATCGACTAAGTACTTTTAAATAAGGCAAAGATAAGGCAGGTCTTATTAGAAAGTTCTCGTGCATCAGACGCTACGCTAATACGGTAACGCTAACAATACGGTATTCCACATGGTATTTTAGTTCTCGGACACGAAGACACATAAATCTTCTAATCCCTTATTTTGTTTACATTTTGACATCGGAGTTGAGTGATCTAACCCAACTTTTTTTGCTTGTTTTGTAACTTTTATTTATTCTGAAGATTCCGCCTGAGTTTAATTAATTTTCCCTTGTTGTTTATGGAATTATTGGAAGTTGTTGTTTTTGTAGATATAAATCGAGCGTGAATTAGTTTTGACATAACATAGCGTTACGGTAAGGCATCCGGTAAGTTCCGTTAGATAGCGGGCTCCGCTAACGCTAATACCGTAAGAACTGTCCTACTTGTCAAATAGCGTTACGGTATTTGAAATTTAGACGGCACGAGAACTCTCTATTTCCTCCCAAATAAAGCCTAGTACTCATAACTGCGGAATTCGGATTTTTTTGACATTGCTTCGACAATTTGACGTTTGATACACGCATAAAATGTCAAATTTTCAACGCAATGTCAAAAAAATTCGAATTTCGCAGTTATGAGTACTAGGCTTAAGGCAGATCCTTATCCTTAATAAGGCTGTCCTTATTCCAAACGGAAACTGCGCATGCCCAGCTGTCGAAATAAAATAAGGCTTGCCTTAATAAGGCAAGCACTTGCAATATCTCTCTAATATCCTCGCGAAAAATTGCCTTATGTTAGACGATAAGTATATAATTCACAGAAAATTGCCCGATAGTTTCTGAACTCTTCTGGATGGGCTCTTATCTTTAAATAAGCCAAAAATTCAGTAATATAATGCTTTGCGTTTTTCACGTTTATTTAAAAGGGTGACTCTCGATTGCTCATGTCGGGTTAATTTTCTCCAATTTCTTTAAGCGGTGTTTTTAGAACTCCCGGGGTGATTTCAATAACACTCGCATGACCTCAAGAATTTTACATTGAGATTTTTTGAACGAGTATGCGTATAGGTGACCCCGAGTATACCCTAAGTACGTATTTAAGAACGCACTCCTGCGGAGCAACGAACATATGCCTGAATACAGCTTACGAACAAACACTCGTACGCGGAGCTCTGATAAGCTGATGAAAACGTTGAAATGTCAAAGTTGTCAAATTTGCCACAACTATAGTCGAAAATACGGGTGTCTAGCAGTAGCAGGGGTAAAGAGGGAGGTAAGATTCTAACATTAGACGATTAGACTATTTTTCGCGACATAATTTTTCCAATGGCTATGTTCGATTATAGCCCGGGACACATCTATCATGCATTCTTCCGATGCGACTCCGATCATACAATCAGGGTCCTTATTCTTGGAACAGGGAACAGCGTTCCTAAGGAGAACGAGTGTTCCGCTGCTCCCCTGTTCCAAGAATAAGGACCTTGATTGTATGATCGGAGTCGGATCCGAAGAATGCATGATATATATGTCCCTGGCTTTAGTTGAGTAATTTGAGGATTACCCAATGACATTTAAATTATCCAACAAAATCAAACATTATCTGGAAAAATTATGTCGCGAAAAATAGTCTGTTCTAAATTAATTTTGTCAAATCGTACGTGCAACTCGGTTCCTTTTCTTAAAGTTAGGTCAGAAAGTGGTTAATTTGTAAGCATCTTACGTCCTGCGTCTTGGGGCCCGATTACGAACTTCCGATACGAATGGAATGCTCCTTCTTTTTTTGGAATAGGCGTTACGAACGTACTCGAAGCAAGACAACTCGGATCGAGAACCATGCCGTAGCTTCCGACAACAGCTGTTGACAGAATCGCTATTTATCCTTCATGCACACACACTTCTTTTAGTTTTGTTCTTGTTTTTCTTGTTATGCCATTGGGTATTGGGGTGCGTTTTGTTTTTCTTGTGTTTTTATCTATGGTTTTTATCAAAATATATTCATACATACATGCGAGCATCCACCCTAGATAGACGAGTCGGGCCCATGGCCATAAGACATACGTTATCCAAAATATTGAACATCGAGTACTGCAACTGACGTCACGAGCCGTCAGTTGATGCAGTCCTCGACCGGACTGTTTCTATTAAAACAGTGCATTTTGACCTTAAAAATCGTTGTGTTCAAGTGTTATTTGATCAACTATCATAATAATTTGGAAAAAAATTGAAAAAACCTTTATTTTCAATTCCACCATGGAGATTCCTTTTAAAAAAGACAAGGAATGGTACAAAACTTGGTAAGATTTAAAACGAAAAAAGATTCACCATCTAATTTAAATTTTTGCAGGCTAAGAACGATAATTAGAATGAATTACACATAATATTTAAAAGCCAAATTTACCAACAGTATGGAAAGAAAGTCTAGTCTACGTATAGAGAGAAAATTAGAAGGTTTATGCCATTAAAGCACACGGCTTTTATATACTAAATCACCGTTGGCCAAATGTTTCATAATTGATATGATTCTCTGTTTGTCAAAAAACACAAGGTTGTTATAATGATTTAATTTTTGCATTTCTCTAAATATCAAAATAAAAAGCGAAACATGGTTGCAATCTTTAGATATTCATAATCATAATTCATAAAAACACTCCAAGTTTCCCATCACTTCCATGCATTTGATGATGAATGATGCATTTACATAGTAAACGCAACAATAAAGGACTGCAGCTGACGTCACCTCCAGCGAGAGTTTTCGCTTTCTACCATTGTACTTGCGGACAGCTAATTAAAGCCGATTCGTGTATTCGTAATCAATTTCGCGTTCGTTACGATGCGTCTATCCTTGCGTTCGGTATTTTGCTCAAAGAGCAGAGCGTGCTGAGCGGAGCCGTAATCACGTGACCAGTGAGCGAACAGAGCAGTTGAGCGCTGTATAAAAGTGCCAGAAATTTTAATAAACGAACGCGAATGAGGATGCACCGAGTACACTTTTTAAATAAACGAACGGTAAAGTAAAGCTCGGAGAACTCGGACCAAAATAACGAACGCAGGGTATGGTTCGAGTTTGCCTTCGACGATCTAAGCCTTCGACTCGGAAACTTTTATTTTACGTATTGGATGTCCGTAATCCGGCCCCTGACTTTCCGAACTGGTTCGTGCACGTGCTGCGCGTTCGGAAAAGAATGTTTCTTGGCTCCAGACCAAGTGCACTTCTTCGCGCCGCGCGATTCAAATCAGTTCGCTCAACTCTGCAACAAGAGCCGAACCGGCAACTAGAATCGGTTCCGGACCGAACTAGTTCTCCCTATAGGCTCTAGGGCTTTAACTGCACCTCAATGCAATAGTTGTATTCCTTTCAAGAGCTCGAAACACTAGAGCCACTCGCTCCGGTGTTAGTCGACACCGATTTGAAAGGAACAGATATGCTCGTTTTCATAGCCGCTTTCCAGTATGGGAGTGTGAAGCCCGGAGCTACTCGGGGCGTGGAGCCCCCGAG